CCCCCCCCCCCCCCATACACATTTTATATTCAATAAACCTTATCAAATATAGGTTTTGAATACGTCACTTTGAATCATATTAATTTGACACATTTTAAACGGGTTTTAAATTTCAAGTTTTCAAGATTCAGTTTAGAACATTTTAGGGATCAGCCCGTCCCTTCCATCCCTTGTATTTTCCCAGTAGGGTTCCACAGTTGGAACAGTAATGTTCTGTTACGTTTAGGGACCCACAGCAGAATGGAATACAGGAGCAGGGCCAGCATCTAAATATCTAGATTTTATTTACTATTCTTTATAGCGTGTCCCACTCAAGTTTGTACAGGGTGTCCCAAATCATATTAGATCGTCAATCAGTCTAATTTACGATTTCCGAGAGTAATCAGAAAATTTAAGAAGAATAAATCATTTCGAAAAACTAAGAAATATAAGAATTTTCTTGCAAAAACTATTTTTTTTTGAAGTATTGTGTGTTTATTTTGGCTTTAAAGCTTGGAGATAATCTAATATGATATGGGACGCTCTGTATAATATGATTGGTTACCCTCGATGCGCTCCAATCGGAATTCCTTTGCTCGGAATTGCGCGGAACTTTTCTTAAATTGTGCGGAATTGTGCAGAATGGCTCGGAATTGCAGTACGGAGTTTACAGGGCACGCAATTGCGTGCAAGTAAAATCCACTTGCGTTGAAAACCCGAATTGGAGAGAATCGAGAGTAAACACCAACCTTAGTTTACAACCTTGATCCCGCTTAACACGATAGTTTAAACACGACCATGTAGGGAATCAATTATGCTCGGCCACCCTTGAGTGTCCACAAAAAAATTCAACCAAATCGGTCCAGCCGTTCGGTAGGCTATAGGCAACATAAATATATATATATATATATATGTAGAATATTTGATTACGGTATGTCAAAGTAAAGATATTTATGAATTTTTAGTATGCTGCTTTGTCATATTTAAATTTTAATGTTCTTCAGGAGACCTTCTGTGCAGTTTTGTTATTTTTGACACGGAAATCTTAAAAATTGGATTAAAGAAGTTTTGGACTGTTCATGACATTGAATAAGAACTTTGTGATATAAAGTTAAAGATATAAAATTGGTTGCTTTAATTTAGTTTGAGTAAATATGTTTTTGTTTGTTTTAAAACAACATATTATGTTGAAACATAACATAGTTTGTTTAAATTGTTATTTGTAACCTTTGAAACTTTTAAAACACGATACAAAGTTAAATAAGTTCTACAAGTAGAGCGCAGAGAACAGGGTATGTATGAAATACTGAACAAAAGTTATATCAAATAAAAAGTTAAAAAATTTCGTTTTCCAGAGTTCGAATTTAATGAATTTGAGCCGCGTCTCAAATCTGCCA